GTGGATGTTTAACCGACTGAGTCACCTAGGTGCCCCATCAGGGAATGCATTTTAAGGCAGGATTTTACATACACATAAAAACTACTGAACTTAAAGAGTATTTCATTCTGCTCTATTTTTTTAAATGAAAATGTTCATTTAATAAACAGCATCTCGTTGATGTTTATGAGACCCAACTTAGCACTTAAAAATGAGTATGCCTAACTACACACAACCCACACTTGTGGGTCTAAATTATTGAGTTCTGGGAACCACTCAATAATTGTTGGTTAAAAAAAAAAAAAAGATAGCAAGACTTGAAACCCAAGTGCTGTGACTCCTCAACCTGTATCTACCAGACTTCACTGCCCACCACATAATAAGCACACTCGTAAGCAGACAGGAAACACCACAAAGGTGTAGACCTACTATCTTCTGAGTGCCAGGCACTAGGCACTGGAGATGGAATAATAAATAAAGACTGGGCCTGAGCTGAAGAAGACTTTTATTCTTTTTTAAGCAGATTCAGGGTAGGCTGAAAACAAAGAAGTTACCAGTTCCAATGTGATCTGTTCACGCTCAGGCTAGCAAGCCATCCTGTGTTAAGAGAACACAATGCAAGAAACAACTAACTTGAATAAAAATATGAGCCTTAGAAGCACCACATTTTTATTTTAAATAGTTGTGATATACTCATCTGGAACAGGAGAACAGGAAACATTATATAAACCTTTTCTTGATGATTTCCTGCCATCACTGCAATAATGTAACACAGTGTTTCGGGAATGAGGGCTATTTGTCCCTATTTTTAAAAAAGTTAAATAGTTCTATCTCTGTCCCAGATCCTATTGCACAAGGTTATGGCCTACCACTAGGAGTTACACCTTCTTCTTATCTGATATGACACAGAAGGGAGTTAATCAGTAACCCTACTTTAATTTCCTAAGTTTAAATTGTCAGTGAAGGTCCCTTCTCCAGAGGAAAGTACTTGGATTTATGTTCGTTTACCGGTTTCCTTTGATGTCCAGTCAGGTACAATAAAAGGAGGTAGTTAATTATAAAAACAGATTTTGCCAATTTGAACACTTTTACCCATGACAAACCTGGAGAGGAGAAATGAAATATCCTACCTCAAACAGGGACCATGATGATAATAACAGATCATCTTTAATGAGCAGTACCTACTATGTGCCAAGTATGTCCTAGGAGCTTAACAGGATCCATTACTTCATCCTCACATTATCCCGATGAAGTAGGTCATTCTAATCTCCACTGCATAAGAAAAATGAGGGCCATGTTCACACAGAAAGTTGCAGGGTTAGTATCTGAATCACACGCTCTGGGTAAAAGCAACAACAACAAAACCCTCAGGTGTCTTTATGGCCAGAAAAGTAAAGTAATGTGTGATACAGCTCAGTTTTAAGATTATAGGGATGTGGAGGCACCTGGGTGGCTCAGTCCGTTGAGCGTCCCACTTCGGCTCAAGTCATGATCTCACGGTGTATCTGCACTGGGCTCTGCACTGTTAAGTGTAGAGCCTGCTTGGGATTCTCTCTCTCCCTCCCTCTCTGCTTCTCCCCCATTCAGCCTCACAGGTACTCATGCTTTCTCTCTCTCAAAGATAAATAAACTTAAAAAAAAAAAAAAAAGATAATAGGGCTGTGGTTCCCAACCCTGGCTGCATATTGTAATCACCTGGGGAGAACGACATAGGGGTTTCACTCCCACAGACTGTGGTTTAGTTGGTCTGAGAGCTGCCCACGTGATTCTAATGGGCAGTCAGAGCTAAGAACCACTGTGTATGGACACGGAGAATGGTGCATGGCCCACCTGAAAGCAGTTTTTTTTTTTTTAAATGTAAGAGGTTAAGTAAACATTGTGCTGGTCAAAGGTTGTTAACTGCTGCCTCTGCCACCAATATGTAACCTCTGCCCCACTGCTCAAGGTAATTGATGTGTGGTGTAAGTGGGAGATAGATAAGCAAATAGATACATAGGCCGGCAGACTTGGACATTTGTTTTTACCGGAGAGGAGGTAGCCTAGTCTTGGAACTTTCCCCAGGTCGCCCCTCACCATCTCCTATTTAAGGAACTGGTCTACTACAAAATGTACTGAGTTAGACATAACCTACTTTCAAAATAATCTCTGGAGTACAACCCATTCTTAAACTGAAGATGACCTAAATATGCTCACTTAACAAATGTATACCTTCAGATTATAGGGCCAAACTACTTAAACATTTCAAGAGTCATTTTTTTTTTTTTTTAAAGAGGCCACTCATAATTAACTCTGATCTTAATCCACTCCAGGTCAAGAGATCTCACTTAACTAAACAAGTTCTGAGAATGGAGAGCCTAACGCCCTCAAAACAAATCTATGCAGGTGGTACAACAGAGCGCTGCTGAGTGAAATGTCATTTGTCATTGGGGAAGCAAAAGATGCTAACGTCAGAAAACCTTCATTAAATGACCTGCAGATGTGAAATCCAAAATAAACGCTATAGGAGTCAATCATGTGGCCTGCCTGGGAAATAATGCTTCAGGGATGATCATATTGTAATTGTTCCAGCACCACAATTCAAGAGGAAATGGCAAAAGGGTACATTAAGAAATAGACTTTAAAGCTACTCAAACTAGCTACATTCTTTCATCTCCTACTGCAAAACAAATGTTGTATATTTGAATGGCCTTGTATCACCACTTACCACCACTCTACTCCAAAACTTTCACCAAAAGGCAGCCAATAAAAGGAGAAAAGAAATTGAGATTGATTTTTCAAAACTAACTACTGCAAATACAGGCCATGACTCAGAAATCAGGGCCTCAGTCAATCAGTTCCAGCTTTGGCTGCGAAGGTAAATGCTCTCCTTGGGCTTGGGCGAAATGTTTGGTTACTTAGTTTTGTTTTGTTTTGTTTTGTTTTGTTTCAAAAAGCAGAGACAGGGAAGTGAAGGCCAAGAGGGCAGACAAAAATGCATGGGATTAACTTTCTCACTACTGTTCAGAATAATTTCCTTTGTTGACTGAATAAATATATATTGATCCCCTCATGAGCGTCAGGCACCGTGCAGTGCTGAGGAGGTATTGGTTAACTTGACAGTGTATGTTCACATGGGTCTCCTAAGCTAAGAGACCAAGGTAACAACCTCATAAAATCCACCACACATGCCCCTTCCAGCCACATGTGTGAAAATCCAGTCCTGCCCTTGTAGTATTAGATCATAAATTTCCCCCTTTGTCTAACTGCGCTGAACTTCACAGGAAGCCACTGATGTCTTCTAAGTAAATACATAAATATCCAGAATTCATACACCAACAATAAGTCATGGGTAAATACCAACAAGTTTAAAGAAAAATTTTCTTAGCCCAAGTCTGCACCAAAACAGGTTTTCCTTTTGAGCCAAACCCAGCTCACATATTTTCACTGCCTGTGGCTATGCAGCTTCAGTAAGCTAAAAATAATTCCTTTTCTTCTAAGTTGGGAAGAGAAAATAAGACCAAGCAATCAGCTGCATGTCCTTTTCTCTCGTTTTAATTTTTTTTTTTACTAGAAAACACTCAAAATAGCTGAAGCCACGAAAAGGCATCTGTTTCATATTTATATACACATACACTGACAGAAACATCCATCCAGCTTATATTTTCCCAGTAATACGAAATTAGCTGTATTTGCATCATCAGCAAAGACTGTCAACATTTCACTGCTCACAGCTTTCTACTATTATTTTCTGCTTGGGGAGAGGACTATGTAAGTATCGAAAACTACACACAAGTACAAGTAAAAGCTTTCAAAAAGTATATACAGGATGACTATGCTCTAAGGCCACATCTCGCTTACTTTGCAGTCATGCATCATTTATGTTTCTGAAATTTACATTAAAGTAGATTCTAAAATAGAAGGGTAGAAGCTTTAAATCTTTCTGCAGGTCTTGCTCAAGTTGTGTTTACTGTATCTGATAAACTGAAAAATTCTATTTCTCTCCTTGGACTTCTCAAGGCTAACTGTAAAGTACCACCTCCCACCCCCCCCCCACCCCCAACACACACGCCTACCTATCTCTGTATTAAACTAAAAGTTTCGCAGGAAGACAAACTTTTTCCCTCCAAAACATATCTGGTGGATGGTGAACAGCGGCAGTGTGGACTTTTCCAATACCTCCAACATCTCTAAAGTCACCCTATTAAATTAATAGAAACCACCAGGTTCCATTCTACTGGGCCTTTAGTTGGGCTGCTAGGTCATGGCTAAATTTCCCTTGAAAAAAACAACATGGTTTGAGAAATCACCGCCAAACTCCATCTCTTAGACTACTGACAAGGGCAACTGCAAAGCAAATACCCACAAACCAGGACCGTGCCTCTCCGGGATGGGCTGGCAGACACGGAGGAAGGGCTATTGGTCGGTCTGCCCGGACTCCAGCTGGGCCACTGACAAGGACTGGGGTAAAGCGCTCAGTGTGCGCCGGCCCATCCAACGCCCAGCGGGACCAGCCTCTGAGCGACCAATTTCAAACGCAACCGCCGGAGGAAGCGGGAGGATGGGGATGTCATCTCCCTTGACACTTTGAGGACCCGGGCGGCCCTGCAGGGCTCAACTCTGAGGTCCGTGATGGTCAGCGGTGGCATCCGCAGGGCCAACGTTTCCCCAAAGCCACTTTTCCAGCCGGGGCGGGAGGCGCGGGGCGAAGTTAGCCACCGGCCGCGCGCGTCCCGTTAACCGTACCTTGCAACTGGGCAGAAAGGGACTCCTGGTGCTGCTGGTACTTGAGCGCCACCGCCTCGGCTTTCCGCAGCTGCGTCTGCAGCTCGTAGTAGAGCATCGCGCCGTAGAGAAAGCCGAACACCACGGTCAGCAGCAGCAGCGTCTGGAAAATCCGCTTTTGCTTTCGGGAGCACATCCCGTTTCCCATAGTCCCGCCTGGACCCCGCGCCGCGGCCGCCCCCGCCGCCGCCGTCCCTTCCTCCCCTCTGCGGGAGCGAGCGTCTCAGCAGCGGCCGCCGCAGGAGGTGGCCGGACGCAGCATGAGGAGGAGACGCGAGACACAAAAGCGGGGCCCGAGGGGAAGTGGCGCCCGCTCAGCCCCCGCGCGCCGTGGGGCGCGCAGCCATCGACGCCGCCTGGGCAGCGGCCGCCAAACTTTTGCGAGGCTGGCTCTCCGCGAGTGCCCGGGCCCGGCGAGGGCCCCTCCGCATACTTCCGAGCGGACCGTGCCCGCGCCGGTCCCCAGACGCCGCCTGCCTTTTTTCCTCCTCCCCACTTTTTGGCTCGGCTGCCCCCGGCGGCGCTCGGAGTCCCGCCCCGGCCGCTCCCCGCCCCCTCGCGGCGGCTCCCGCTGCGCGACTTTGTTGCCACCAAAAGGAGGGGGTACGCGCCCAACAAAAGGACGCGGCTCCAGGCGGCGCCTCCGCGCGCGGCCCGCCGGAGTCGGTGGAGGGGCGGGGGCCGGCTGGCCCCTCTGGGTTTGGGGGGACGGCGGGCCGGTGTCACTGACCGGGCTGCCCAACCTCGGCCGCCGCCGCCTCCCACCCAACTTACGTGTCACCCACGGCCCCGCTATTCTGGCCAACGGGATTCCGGGAGGAAGTCCCACTCGGGCTCCCCGCTCATTGGGCCCGTCCGAGCCTCCGCTCCCTCCCTTCGGGGAGGCAGTGCGGGGCTCGATTGGACGCCCGCTTTGTCCGTCCGACCCCGGGGCCGCGCCTTCCCTCCCACCCTGGGGGCCGGCGAGGGGCTCCGTGGGCAGAGCGGCCGCCTGGCGCCGGGGTGCGCCCACGTGGAGTGCGGGTGGGTGGGGAGAGGCCGCAGAGCCAGGGCCCGGGAGGTGGGGTGCGTGGGCGACGTGTCCCGGCTTGCGGCTGGGCGAGGTACGGTGCGCACGTGTGTGAGTGCAGGTGAGAGAGAGAGAGAGAGAGAGAGAGAGAGAGAGAGAGAGAGAGAGTGTGTGTGTGTGTGTGTGTGTGTGTGTGTGTGTGTGTGAACGCACGTGGGGAGAAGAGTACAGTGCATGTTAGGGGGGCAGTGGGTGAAAGCAGCTGCTTACGCTCGACCGAATACCCGTTCTTTCTTTCTCTAGCCAGTGGGCAGATGCGGCAGACACACGGGATAGCTACACCGTCAGCATAATCTGCGTAGCCGGACTGGAGAAGCCTTGCGGATGGACTCTGGCCCCAACCCGGGGGCTAGGGGGAATGCGTGTGTGCCCGCTGATGGCAAGACACGGTCTGGGGGACTCACGTACGCTAACGCGCTACTTACTGCTCAACTGTCCGTGTGGATTGGGGAAATGAGCTTGCCTTTAGCAGAGGGGAAAGAAGTGACCTCATATTTCCCCCCAGCTTCCAAACAGAATAACTTAAAGATAAATCTCAGAGGCTGAAATAAGTATGCATACGTTTCGTCACATGTATTTGTTTGATCGGTGGCAGAAATACATCAGTTACATCGGTAAATTACACTTTAAAGGCCAACAAAGGTTCCCTATGTAAAACAGAGTAAAACAAACTTAACCACAAACCTCTTCAAAAAAGAAATCTAATTCAAAGAGAACACTGCTTTTGTTCTTTCTATGTACTTGAGAGGGAAAAAAATTGAGGTTGATAATTTTGTTTTTGCTCTTGACCTGACTTCTAAGAAAGTAAATTATTTCTCAAATGCCTCAGTAGTGTCATGGAACTTATTTTATACTGCATGATTTTTATGATATTCTAACCAGATTTTAGTTATCACTATCAATAGTAGCCAGTGAGTGCTCAAAATGAAGGTAGATGTGCTTAGCCAAATTAAACGTAAAGACAGTCCCTGGTGCTGAACATTTTCAGGTAGACTCTGAGACTAGAGAATGCTAAAACCATAAAATAAGCCTCAATTACTACCTAGTTAGCCTATGACACTTCTACTACCATGAAAACTAAGTTTGCCTGGCATGTGTTTTTCCCTAATCAACAATAACTTACAATAGAACAATACGTTTTTCAAAAATACTTTCATTTATTATCTCACTTACCACACCCAGATTAAGGGTTAGCCTCACATTTTGGTAAAGAAACCAAAGTTTATTAAAGTGACTGAGAGCTGTCAGAGAAAGTGAAATATCATATGATTACACTCATGTGGAATTTAAGAAACAAAACAGATGAACAAAGGGGAAGGGAAGGAAAAATACGATAAAAACAGAGGGAAGCAAGCCATTAAGAGACTCTTAAATATAGAGAACAAACAGGGTTCCTGGAGAAGGCGTGTCCGGTGGGGGGATTAAGAAGGGCATTAAAAAGGACATTGGTTGGAATGAGCACTGGGTGTTGTAAGTGATGAATCACTGAGTTCTACTCCTGAAACGATACTACACTGTCTGTTAACTAATTTATATTTAAATAAAATTTTAAAATTAAAAACTAAACTGACAGATGGCTGTAGGACCTAGGACATGCAGAGAGTTAGGAGTTCAGCAGAATTAGATCCAGGTTAGAATCCTGCTCTTTTTATCACTTTCTTTTGTAGAAGTCAAGTTCTCATTCTTTTTTTTTTTTTTTAATGTTTATTTATTAATTTTGAGAGAGAGAAAGAGAGCACAAGATGGGGAGAGGGGCAGAAGGAGAGAGAGAATCCCAAGCAGGCTCTGCACTGTCAGCACAGAGCCTGGAGAGGCTCAGTCCCAGGAACCATGAGATCATGACCCGACACTGACCAGAAATCAAGAGTCCCACACTTAACAGACTGAGCCACCCAGTTTCCCCAGTTCTTATTCTCTTTAAACAAGTGATATTAACAAATTGTATTTAGTCCATTAAAATGAGAACCTTGGGGAGCCTGGGTGGCTCAGTCGGTTAAGCATCCAACTTCGACTCAGGTCATGATATTGCGGTCTTGAGTTCGAGCCCCGCGTCGGGCTCTGTGCTGACAGCTCAGAGCCTGGGGCCTGTTTCGTATTCTGTGTCTCCCTCTCTCTCTGACCCTCCCCCGTTCATGCTCTGTCTCTGTCTCAAGAATAAATAAACGTTAAAAAAAAGTAAAAAAAATAAATAAAGAAAATGAGAACCTAGTTTAAAAAGAAAACGATTTAAGGAAGTTTCAAAACTTTGTTCTGTTGTGTAAAATATAGACTTGTTATTTAATCTACCACTGTTTAAATTTCTTCCAGCTTTACTCTTAGAAAATGAGACTGGATAATTCCTGCAACCTTGTTAAAATTCCTTATAACTAAAAAGTCCTTAACATTGTCAGTGTACAGTTTGCTAAATAAACTCTTCCTCCAAAAAACCTACCAAAACTGCTCTGGAGGAAATGACATTTTATAGCAATAATCCTGGCCCATTCTTGAAGAGAAAATTATCCTAAGAAAGAAAGAAAGAAAGAAAGAAAGAAAGAAAGAAAGAAAGAAAAGAAAGAAAGATTGGACAGAGGATTGGAAAATTATTATTCATATATTACACAATATGCAGTATTTAGTTGAATTTCAGACTCTCTGGAAAATTCTTATGCTTCTGGAATACATGATTTCTCATTTTCAACCTCTGATTCTTTTGCATCTGATTCCAGACTCGAAAGGTATTCTTTGCCTAAAGCTGCTGACAGACTCTACAGAATATAATAAATGTAGGCCATAAAACACAACTCAATATTTTAGTCATAAAATTTGAAAGAGAACAAAAATTATTGCCTGAACTTCTCCATTATTTCAAATTCAGAAAGGGTATATGGAAGTACATAAAATCACTAATGGCAGTGTCTTTATAAAATTACTTTTCCAAGGTGAAGTATGCTGCTAGTTTCTTAAAAATATCAGTATAAAGCTTTTGAGAGGCCAACATTGGGGAAGCTATCCAGGACCTATAAATTGAATTTACATAACATTGCCTTTGGGTAGAACTTGTAATAGATGAGCTATTTTTGCTGGTCTTGTGAGGTCTGTTGTCAGTTCTGTTTTATTTTTATTTATCATTTTTAAAATAGTATATGATATTTCTATATGTCATATATTTAACATTTGTAATTTAAAAATTATATATCCTGAGGTATTTCGTCAACTTAATATTTTATTCCTAAGGCAGGAAGTAATTAACTTAAGAGATTCAAAGTCTTGCATTTGAGAAAGGCTAAGGTAACATCTGGGAGCCTTAGCATTCTTTCCAGTGTTACTAAATTAATAAAATTTGTTTATTTTTCAAAATAGGGGAAGGCAAGAAAAATACAGTTGAGGGATACAGCCAGTGTATAATTTGTAAATTTATATGATCAGTCCCAGAGTAACTAGCCTCCATTGTCTGTGAAATTTTTTGATTAAATCTCTTTACTACAAATTGAATTCAGTAGTCTTTTTTTTTAATTGGCAAGAGGCATCAATGCCTAAGAAAAGGTGATGAATGTTAAATAAATTTTTAAACAATTTTTTTTCAACATTTATTTATTTTTGGGACAGAGAGAGAGACAGAGCATGATTGGGGGAGGGGCAGAGAGAGAGGGAGACACAGAACCGGAAACAGGCTCCAGGCTCTGAGCCATCAGCCCAGAGCCTGACGCGGGGCTTGAACTCACGGACTGCGGGACCGCGAGATCGTGACCTGGCTGAAGTCGGACGCTTAACCGACTGCGCCACCCAGGCGCCCCAACAATTTTGTGACTATGTGTGGTGATGGATATTAACCAGAATTATTCTGGTGATCATTTTGCAATAAATATTTATATTGAATCACTATCTCATACACCTGAAACTAATGTGTTATATGTCAATTATATCCATAAAAAACTAAAAATTTAAATGGCGTTTCAGTGTTAATAAATCACAGCTGTAACCTTTTCATGTAAATATTTCTGAAATCAGCTATCCTTTATCATCTATAGGAAACTGCACTCTTCCTTTTTGGCACTTCACCTTTTGCTAGCACCTAATTAAGACGCAGTCTTTCCTATACTTTCTTTTTAAGGGGTAAAGGAAGCCACATTCAAGCTATTCTGTTTTGTTTTGTTTTGTTTTGTTTTGTTTTGTTTTGTTTTGTTTTGTTTTGTTTTGAGGATTCTGTTAGAGATGTTTTGAAACTCCTTTCCATAAAATTTTGCTAATGACCTGTTAGTAATTGTTAGCAGATTAAGAGAGTATGAAGTAAGCCTGTAGCTAAAAGCATGATAAAACAATTGAACCCTAATCAATGGTCTTGGCGCCTTGCTTTGCTCTGTCTCTAAGCTGCCACCTTAGTAGCTTTGAACTATTTAAGGAGTTAGAGGAGAGTGAAGGGGGAAGTCAGCCCTTGTCCATAAAATGATTTTCAATACGAGAAACCTTACTTGTAGCACCAATAATAAATGCCTTTCGAACATGGACTACTTTGATAATGTAGAAAGTTCTTTAGGAGGCCCTCCTTGCCACAAGGTGTGTAGCTAGACTAAAGAAACAAGAAAAATCATTTCAAATGCCGTTAACATCCCTCTAAAACAGGACAATCTAGTATACCATAAACTCTTCCAAATTTTAAGGTAGCACAAGAAATTATTTTGTATTTGTTGCTTAACGTGTATTATAGCTAGCATATTACTTTTAAAAAAAGTTTCATTTCATAGAATGTTAGAAGAAACGGAAAAGGACCATACGTGAGAATCAAGTGAAGCAAATTTCCCAAATCTTCATTGGCTTCTTCAAGAAGCTTTTCACTAGCTGTCTGTCTTTAGTAACCCAGAGACTTCAGACAAACAGACCGTGGGAAGGTCAGTGGCCAATGAAACATGACATTTTTAATGTTCCCCCAAAATGGATAGTTTATTGGATTCCTTTGTATTAAAGACATACTTGGTTTATCCATGACCATCTTACAGAATCAGTATTTAAAATTTAATGTTATATGATAGGTATGTATTTTATAATTATCATGGGAAGTGGCTGATCATATTTATGATGTATCCGATGCTAAGTCCTGGGTCAGAAATTTGACAATTTTGGAACCGTTCCTAAAGGAAATCATAATCTAGTCCATAAATATTTTTTATGCTCTAGTTTTGGGAATACTTTGAGTCAAAACAAAGGGACTATCAATGGTTTTACTTACAAATAAAGTAGAACAAACTTTCAAAAAAAAAATTCTAAGAGTTGAGTTACCTCAGCATTAAGTTCTCAAATTAAAACTGTGAAATAAAAACACATGTCTTTCCTCACTCTGCTCCTCATTCTGTTCTCTGGTGCAACTCTTCAAATCCTGGCATCCAACATCCTAGTCATCCCTTTTTGTTTCCGAGATCCTTGTCTATGACTATGACCTTCACTCCCACCCACATACATATACATTGTCCTTCCCTTCTTGAAGACAAAGGACAATAATCTAAAACAATCTTTCTCAAAATGCCTATCACTGTCCTTCAAATAACCACTTAATTAAAGGGAAGCAAATTGGGTATATCGATTAATAGGAAGATGTTAAAGGATGAATTATTAACTTCTTATTCCTCTCAAGAATTTTGTGAGAAAATATGTTAAACAAAGGACTGAACTCCAATGACATAATCTTAGGCTGGTGAGCAGATGAGTCATAATTGTGGATAGAAGAGTTTCATTTTTCCCCACTTATTTCCTGATTCTCCTGTCCAGTTGTAAAGGGACTTGGGAACATTCAAAAGGTGACTCAAGATGCCTACTGCCAGGATACAAATCCCATTTAGGTTACAAACTACCTGT